TTCCTATATCCCCGGCTTGCATTCACACTTGAAATCAATCATATATGGTAACCATACCCACTTCTCTATCTCACACTCTCACAGATATTATCTCTTAACCATCAATTGATACAGCTATCACCTTCCAAATCCAACTTAATTATATGTCTTGATCCCTACACATACCGCCATTTCATTTTTTAATTTTTTAAAAAATATACATAAATCATATTTATATATATATATATATTTGATTTACTCTCGTACATTACTCTCATTATTCATTTTTTAATTAGTGAGATAAATTTTATTTATGAGAAAAATATGCGATCACCCATTCCTATAGGTAATTAAATCCACTAAACCAGATCAGTTATTCTGATCGTTGAACGACACCATTATCTATGTCTGGTCTCTATTAGCAAACCCTACATGAGGTTTCTATTGTGCTTGCAAGTTCATCCTCCCAACAAACCACACTTGTGAGTCTTGTAACTTATGTACCAAAAGAATCTTCATTGACCTGAGCGGATATCTCCTCATAACCCTTCATCGCTCCTCCATCTATTGCCCCTGAGACTGGGGCAACTTGTTAAGTGTTTATGTTTTTTTTATGTATTTCCTTGAGATGATGTTCTATGAGTCAACCCAAATTGTTGAGATTTTGAATTTTCTTCTATAAACTTGACGCTCCAAAAATTCTATTGCCACCCAAGTAAATCTAATTACGTAAATTCTATGTGCTCAAAATCTTATAATAATGATATGTACATATAACATAGGTACATAGGGAATTTTTCTAAACTCCATAATAATTAATTATTTCGCTTGGTATGCTCTGAATATAATATAATTATTAGAGTGTGAATATATCTGATTTTTTATTTATGATAGAATATTAATCATAATTAATAAAGTCAGTAGTATCTCTTCATATCACAATTGTATACATTTAGTACACAATTAATTACTATATGCAATCGGGCTTCATTGCTTCATTTTCTTTATGCATATACAAACTGATATTTTTTTTATGAAGTTGTAATAAATAATTAAAAATTATTTCAAAAAATAAGATTTATTGGAGATCATATGTACGAGAAAAATATTTAAAATACATAATCACGTGTGTGTATATATGCACGGATGCTTATTCTACTTGCTACCCATACAACTTTTCGACTCTATTGCAATAATATCACACATTTAGAAAAACATACAAGATAGCATTCAAATTACTCAAATGAGCTAGTTGCCAACATACACATACTTCTCATCAACACTCTCAATTGGTAGTATATGCGTGAGAGTAATTTTATTTTTTATTTTTTGTTTTTTAAGATATAAGAAAAAAGATAAAGTAATCTATATGTCTATTAGTTAGTTAAAAGCAAAAATAAATCCAATCAAATAATTGAACAACAAATTTATAATTCAATTTAACGTATTTCTCTAGATAAATGTATATTATTCATATTAATCAAAATATTAATTATTTTAGATATTCTAATTAAATCAAAATTTTCTTTTATGAAAATATTATTCTTTAATACGACTATCTTAAATTTTAATTTCAAAATTCGAAGAATGTATTTATATCCATTAAATTCTATTAAAAAATCTCATTTGAATTCTAAAAAAAATTGAGCAACTATTTAGCTTAATCTTCCTCTTAAGTAGACTGAGTTTCTACATATACTATATCAATAATATTTATGTTCTCGCTCCATTGTGTATAAAATAAGAAGAGAAAAGATAAGATAAGAAACATTCTAATAACTTAAGATTACATTGGACGCGCAAGTATTTTAGCAGATAGAAATGGAGTCAGATCAAGTCAGGGCAAGAGAGAAATTAAAAAAGGAAGAGTAATACTAGTAGAAGAGATAAGATATTAAAGAGAAGATTAATCTGAAGAAAATCATAAGTCAAAGTAACACGATTACATTCATACATGCAATGTGACGACTACCATGACTACTACTACGACGACGGTGACTACAGCTATTAAGAATCTAAAGACATATATTTGTGACGGATTATAATTGGTTATTTAAGTATATTATAACAACAATGCAAACAATTCAAAATCAAACATCTTAGCATTCCATTCCTACGGATAATTAAATCATTGGACCATATCAATCTATTATTCTTGTTGTTCTGATCTATGAATGGCACCATCATCTTCACTAGTCCCAATACCAAAACCTAAATGAG